GCAATAAATTCAAGAGCTTCCAAAATCAAACGGGTGGATCTTTCCAAATTCATTGTGTAGAAATGATATCCTTTGATATCAGCAGCATACATCTTCTTGATCATTCGGACAACCAATTTGATTCCATATTTTTTTACAGCGTCATCATCATCTTTGATAGGTTCCAAATCATCAAGTATATACTGAGGAACAATAGTTTTACAAAGAGTTATGATTCTATTAAATCCTGAATAGGTCTGAATTGGCAAAAGACCAGGAATTATAGGACAATTGATACCGATGGCACGACATTCTTTAACCCATTCTAAAAAGACATCTACGTCATAAAACACTTGTGTGATGATAAAATCAGCACCAGCGTCCACTTTCTCTTTGAGTCGACGTAAATCATCATCTTTATCAGGATTATCAACATGACCCTCACAATACCCAGCCACACCAATACCAAAATAATCACCATATTGTTCACGGATATAACTAACTAAATCAATTGCATATGAAAAGCCATCTTTTACTGCTTCCCAACGTTCTTGGCCATGAGGTGGGTCACCACGTAAAGCAAGAATATTTTGACATCCGCATTCTTTAGCTTGCTAATTAATATAATTAATATTAAAATATTGACACATGAATAATAATTCTTTATAAAATAAACAGATTGATTGAATATACCTTAAGTGCTATATCTATCTTTTCTTTAGGCATATTTGTACAAGTAAGATGCATCATTGTTTCCAAACCATAAACTGATTGTGCAGTTGCTACAATTTCAGAAGTGAGTTTTGAAGAAGTACCCCCAGCATTCCACGTAACATCAACAAATTCGGGGCCTAAATAATACATTCTTTCCATACGATCATAAAGATTTTGTACCCCCTATCAAATTTAAAAATGAAATGGTAGTAATTATTAGAATGATGGTTATTTTTCTTTCTCTTTGATCGATTTTTCAAATTTTTTAATAAAATTAAGAATTATTTAAATATTTTTTTACTATATAAACTTGATAAGTAAGTTTTGATAGCAAGAAAAAAATTTACTGTTGAGATATATATATAAGTGTATGCTAATTTTTACCTGTTGAGTTTTTGGAGGAAAATACTCAAATGACCAGAATGGTCTATCTTCCTCCATTGCCTTTTGTATTTTATTGATAATTTTCATTTTTTATTTGTAGTTATTTTTTGTAAAAAATAATTGTATATAATAATCTAGTAATCTAAATAATCTAAAATAAATGAATAGATCAAGATTGATTCATTAAAAAAAAGATGCGTCGTATAATTTAAATAATGTTACACCAAGAATACGGTGGATCTTGATTCAAGAATTTTTAAGAATATTAATATGTATTAGTATGTTATCCGAAATTGCTTCTCTTAATATTAATATTAATAATGATGAAACTGAAATGAAATTAATATTTGATTTTACTAGCAGCCAAAATAGAATTGTTTGAACTTTTTGACCAATAATAGCATATTAATTAATATATTAATATAATAGGCCGAAATTTCAAAAAGTTATATATATTAATATGGGGATATGCTTGCAAGTGAACATCGCACTATATACCAAAAGATTTCAGGGATCAAAATTATAGAAGTGTTGGAGGCGGATAAAAAGAATTATCCAAATTCAACGAAGGGGAAGGTAACGAACAAATTGAACAAATTGCGTAAAAAAATACACAAATTATTTTCCATTTATTCCATTCGTTTATTTATTTTTTTGTTTGTTTGAGTGACATATATATTATTGTTTTGAAATGTTACTACTAACCTATGTTTTTTCTTTGTTTTTTTTATGCTCTATCAATGACCCATTGAAATATACACACCCTAGACAAAAGTTTTCGGACACCTGGTTTTTACTGATTGCGCAAAACTACACATAATAACTATACATAAAATTTTATCAAATGTAGTTTAGGTTTTGATAAATATATATGTAAATTTTGGTATTCTTAAAACGTCTAATTAAAAAAAATCCGAAACTCGATGAAAATGATGATGATCAACAAAATATTTATTTGTATTAATAAAGTTTAATATTAATATCGAGTTGGCCATCCACCACTAGAAATGCATGCCTCAATCCTTCTATATATGCTTGTAGTAAGAAGAAAATTAAAAGTAGTTTCAAAAACTTTTCACGTTTTTTGGAAGAAGAAGATAGTTGTTGAGACATTTTAATTTCGTAGAATTTAGAGATTTATTAATTTAAAGAAATCAAAGAAATGTTGATTATATAGAATTATTAGAAGATATTTATTTATTATCAATTTAGAAATATGGAAAATCTGATTAATATTCTTATTTAGTGATGTGTGTTTAATTATTCGTGTAAAATCATTATGGAAAATTTCGATTAATATTATTATTTAACAATGTGAGAATTATTCATGTAAATCATATTAGCAATGAATTAATCTCAACATAGTAACGTGGTTTTTTTTTCACGTGAATCTGTTGTAACGCGATTAGTACTTATTATTATCACTAAAATCCTATTACTACCAAAAAAACCGTTGTCCGTTGAAACGCGATTTAATACACAGGACATTTCCCGCCGATCTATAGGAGGTTGTAAAACATATATAGTAAAATTCGAATTTACATAGTACAGTGCGTAACATAAGCCATCAAATTACTGCGCCCATGTATCAAATTCAAGAAAAATTTTCAAATTTTTTTTAATTACTTTAGAGGTTGGAATCGACTAAAATAGTCGACTAACTTTTTTTTTAAACAACTAATAGTCAACTAATACTAATTATTATTATTGTCTGGCCAATTATAAATGAAAACGTTTTTTGTGGTACAAAACATTTAAAAAATAATGGAAAATAATAAAAATAAATATGCGGAGTATCAATATTATGAAGAAGATGATAATGGTGGTGTTGGTGCTGGTGTTGGCGATAATTATCCATGCGAAATAATAAACATTGATACAAGGTCAAATCATTCCAACAATTCGTTGGCTTCGAGCTCAAGCAGTGGTTCCAGACCTTTAAAAAAACGAATTATAACATATAGCTTCGTATGGAAGTATTTCGAGAAAATTAAAGATTCAAATGGAGATGAATTTGTAATCTACAAATTAAAAAAAAACGTTAATAATAAATGAAACAGAATGAATATTCTAATTAAATAGATGTTATTCCCGTGACTAGTGTGTGACCATTTTGCGAAGCAAATGGTTACACGCTAGTATTAAAAAAATTTAGTCGACTAAATAGTCGACTAAAAGAAATTTTGACCAACTAGTAGTCGACTAAGGATTTTTTGGACCATTCCAACCTCTAAATTACTTTCATTACAAAAATACAGTTAAAAAAAACAAATCACGTGATAAATGATTTTTACTCATTATTTCTATCAATTTCTTCCATAATATTATCAGGTATTCTTCTATGTGATTTATATCTTTTCAAAGCATATTCTGCTTGTAAAACTGTTAAGCCTTTCCTATAACATTCCATATACTTCACTGATCTTAATGCATATTTTCTTATTTGTTTCAATGATATAGAATCAAAGGCCCTTGGTATATTTTCTTGTAAACCTTTCCAGGTATAATCGCAATGTTGTCTTACATACCTTTTGGCAGCACCCCAATACATTTCTATATAATTCAATTCACAGTGGAATTTTGGATAAAACACCACTTTGTGACCTTTTGCTTCGATTATTTCCTGAAGCAGGGGTTTTTGATTTTTGAAGTCAACCTGGGAAGCTAAAATATGTCTGGCACAACATGTTAAGTTCTCTTCAAGAGAAACATTACTATTCTTACAATATGCTTTTAGATTTGACCTCCATAATCCTCTTTCCTGCAGAATTACCTTCATTCCTTTTGGTTTACCACATAACTTTTCATCTGGATAATCATTTGGGAATACCATTTCTTGAACTTTTCCATCAAAAATTGTATCTCTCATAACAGGTTGTTCTCCACCTGGCTTAAGATTCATTGTGAATGCATTTAATGCATCTTCTGCCCTTTTTGTATGACTTGATGAATGATCAAATGCAAATACAGCAATCATTCCTGGATGTGTCAATTCAAAAATAGGAATAGCACAATTGACAACCTAAATATATAAAAAAGTGGCCAACAAATATTAAATAGAATATTTTTTATCATTATGGATTTTTTAAAATTGTTTACCTGATCTATTAATTGCTCAAGATTCCACCACCCATCTTGATTTTTTCCAGGACATATTTTTACTTGAGCATCTTTAGGAAAATTCTCATTGACATTTGATATTTGTTCATCTAACAATCTCAACCATCCAATTGTTTCAGTCAAGAAATCACTAATATGAATAGTTCTTCCTTGACCTTTCTTATGTAGAGGCTGTTCATTTATTGGTCTCCACCCTGATTTTTTACCATCATTTGATTGAAGAGTTGTTTCATCTTGTGTAACTAACACATGTATTTTCTCACCTTCTTTTAGTTCAGGATTAATCTGCAATTCAAAATCATCACCAATGAATTTAGGCATAAATTTTTGATACCTAATATTTTGTAAATGATGATTATATGTTAATATATTTGTATGTTTGATAAAGACAAATGAATAACTAAATATACTTTTCCATCACATTCAAGAATTCTTTATGGTGTTTCATCATCATGCTCATGGCCATCAATAAAGATGCCTTTTGAATACTTTGAGAAAATGAAGCCCATATTTTTTAACCATCTATTTGCTGTCATTGAACTTTTAAAATTTTTAATAGTTAATATTTAACATATATAATAAACAATTTTTAAGAACCATTCATTACCTTATCTTTGTTTTATTTTCAATTCCAATATATGGAAGAATCTCATCAGATACATAGTCACGAAATTTTGATATTGTTATATCAAATTTATTTTCTCTTAAATAAGAATTGATTTTTAATTTAACATCTTCATCTTCCAATATACTGGTTCCAACTAGGTGTTCACCACGTCTACATTTTGGAATATCACCATATTCTATAAAAGCTTTTGACCAGCTTCTTACACATCTTGCAAACCACTTACCTTTACCCATCAAATCTGAAACAACTTCACTGGCTTTAATCTTAGCATATCCTTTTTTTCTTAGTTGTAAAAAATGCTGAACAGCCTTAAGTCTGATTTTATGATTTGGAGTTAAATTTTCTGAAGTTAA